TATATGTATATATGTAATATTAATAATTTGAAAACAGAATTTTTTGACTTCGAATTTGAGTTTGAGTTTGAGCATCTTATTCGGGTTGAAACCTATAAAAAAATATTTAGCAAAATTTGACATGAGCTCGAACCGAGCTTGAGTTTTGCTCGAGCTAAACTCAGCTCGAGTTTGAACTCTAATTATTTAACTCGTCCAAGCTCGAGCTTGAACTCGAGATCGTGAATTCTGATCAAACTCAAACTCAAGCATGCCCATGTTCGAGCACGGCTTGTTTGCACCCTAGTCACAGTACAGGTCTGAGTTAGACACGATATTGAACCATCTTGATATGTGCCCACCCCCTAGCTCTAGCCTTCAATCGCATTTGCCGACAGTTTTTGTAAAATGGTTTTTTTATATGAGACTATTTATTTTCTTAACAGATAAAATTACAAAGTTTTTTTAAATAAGGGACTTTGTCCAGTTAATTGTTTTCTAACAAATATGTCACTTGAATCGTTGGATAATTCTTTCGGTGAAAATTAAAAAAGACAAAAAAATCCTGGTGAAATTTTCTAACGGGGACGGTTTACGGCGACAACCGCCGACAGATGCGGTTGGAGCCAGTAGTGAGGTAGGGGTGGGGCAGTTGAGCCATGGGTGGGTACTTGGTTAGGAAATAGAATTAAAAGAAAAGTATATTAGTTAAATAGATCTTAATCATATTTTTGTGTTTCAAGGGTATAGAGTAAGAGTGAGAACGATTCGAGTAGGCCCGAATAAATGATAAATTTTCAAGAACTGCCGGTTATGTTTAATGGGTAGGTCTGGTCCGAGTAACCAAATCTCGAAATATAAATCAGACTTACCCGCCCCATTTGAAACGGTCTGATTCGGTCTGGGTTCTCGTTTTCTTTTGAAAAAAATACGGCTACGTTTGCAAAGTATCCAGTAAATAATAACATTTTCTAACTAATTAAGTATCGATGTCATCATAATATAACAAAAAATGATAATAAAAATATCAAACAAAATTTTGAATTAGTTAACAAAATTTGTAACCACAAATATGTAAATTAAATAACATACAACCACACAAATTAAACATCCCACCTATAAACTTAGAAGGTGTAGCACCAAAAAGTCATAAGCATATGTCTAAGAGAATAATTTAAAACTCAATAAATCTTAAAATATATATAATTAAGACAATTAAATGAATGTGTGTCAAACTTCATTAAGTAATAAGAGTCAGTTTTTGAAAAAAAAAAGATTAATTAAAGGAAATTTGATGCATTTTTAATAGAGAATTGAGAATAATAATTCAGAATTTTATATGCACTTTGAAACTTTTTTTAGTAGGTTCATAAGTTTCTTTAATCGAGAGTATTTATCTAGATACAAGAATACAAATAGCTTTTCGGTGTTGTTAGGATATTATTATACAGAGTATTAAATACTCTGTATAATAGAGTTTTTTAAAACTAACGTATTAAAGCGGCTCGATTTCATACCTTTTAAAAAAATCTAAGGACACGTTTACTTCACGGGTTACTAAACGGTGCTTATTAAGACTCGCGTTAATAAGCGGATCATAAAATAAACGGTGTTGTAAGCTCATGTTTACTTCAAAGGATTTAAAACATCGTTTAACATTAAAATGTCCAAAATAGCCTTATACATATATAGACATAGAAACATACATGAACACAAGTATATAATATAATACGTGGGCGTCACCTCGTACGCGTACCCATACCCATACCCCACCACCCCTGACCCCCCTAACCCTACCATGACCCTACCCCTTTACCCCCTACCTCGACCCTACACCAACCCCATACCCCTAAGGGTGGGTCCAGGGTCCAGGGTCGGGGTGGGCTCGAGGTAGGGGGCAGGTGGTAGGGGTAGGGTTGGGTAAGGGGTGGGGGTGGTAACGACTAGGTGTAGGGTAGGGGTAGTGTATGAGCTGGGGGTTAGGGCAGGTGGTAGGGGGTATGGTCGGGTCAGGGTGGGGTCGAGGTAGGAGCAGGTGGTAGGGAGTAAAGGGGTAGGTCGGGGTAGGGTAAGGTATGGCCAGAAGGGATAGTGGGGTGGGGTCGGGTTCGGGGTCGAGGTAAGGGCATGTGGTAGGGGGTAAAAGGGTAGGGTCGAGGTAAGGGGTACAAGTGGGGGTAGGGGTACGGTAAGGGTAGGGGTAGGAGCACGGGTAGGGGTAAGGGGGTAGGGATGATGGGGGTGGGTCCAGGGTCAGGGTGGGGCGAGGTAGGGGTTGGGTTGGGTAAGGGGTATGGTGGTAATGGCTAGGGGTAGGGTACGAGGTGGGGGTTAGGGGCAGGTGGTAGGGGTAAAGGGGTAAGGTCAGGGTAAGGTAAGGTATCAGAAGGGGGTAGGGTGGGTTGGGGTTGGGGTCGAGGGGGTAGGTGGTAGGGGTAAAAGGGTAAGGTGGAGGTAAAAGGGGGTGGGGTCAAGGTGGGGTGGTAAGGGTTAGGGTAAAAGGGGGTGAGTGGGTTGGTCGGGATAAGGTAGAGTTAGGGGGTAAGGGTGGGGGTGTTGTAGAGGGTAATAATAGGGTAAGGGCAAGGAGTAATGGTAAGGGTAAATTCGGAAACTAAAAAAGTTTAAAGTGTCACTTAATTAATACATGTGGGCGTGGTATGCTTAGTAAGCGACACTTTAAGCACCTATTTCGGTTAGTAAGTGGCTTCTTAAGTAACTCGTTCAATTCCTTTGAAACTAGGACAAACCTAACGCGATCAAATCTATACTACTCGGTCAGTCGGTCTGACCTGCAGTTCTTATACCCGTTTTCCAAACCTAGTATAGAGCCGGTAGACTTGTACAAAAACGGATTCGGGCCGGGCTCGGGTCGGGGTTTTCATAAATTTTCTGTCCATCATGTGTGGGCGGGCCCGGTCCGGCCCGCAAAAACGGGCCTAACCCTATGTCCATACCCGCCCATAAGAGCGGGCTGGGTAGTCCACCGGGCCGCCCGGCCCGAAAAAACTTAAATTTTTTCACAATGACATGATTTTTTAAATACTTTAAAATTAATATTACAACATTTAAAAAATAATTAATACGCTTATAATGTTTATACGTCTTTCACCTATGGGTGGACTCGGGTCCGGGTCGGGCCTAGGCCCGGGCGGGCCGGCGGTTCAGGAGTGGTGGACCCGGGACCGGACCGGGTAACCACCGGGTCCGGGCCAGGCCGGGTCGGGCCCATTATCAATTTTTTCCCCTCTTCCTAATTAACCCCGCTCCCACGCCCAACCCCCAAACCACCCCAAATGGCCCAAAATACCCAGCCCAACCCGAAAATTTAAAAAAAATTGAAAAAAAAATAGTTTTTGTCCGAGCCGGGCCCGGCCGAGTCGGGCCTTGTTTTGGGTGACCCGAGCCCAGACCGGAAAACCCACGGGTCGGGCCTACCCGGACCGGTCACTGATCGGGCCATCGGGTCGGGCCGGGCCGGAACAGTACCGGTCCCGGGCCGGTTCCGGGTCGGGCCAGCCGGCCCGAGTCCATATCTACTTTCACCACATACAAAAAAATACTTGCACAAAAATAATAATGAGAAACTACATCTAAAATTTAAAATTTAAGCACAAAGTATTATCTTTAAGTACAAAAGTAGATATTATATTGGTTGGGCTAGTTGTTAAGAACTAAAGATTTTTATTTAAACATAATTAACTATAAATATGTATAAAAGTTGCAACAGTTTGACTTTCACGTTTGCCAACGCGCAACTTTGACTGTAATTATATTTATTTACGTATTAGTAAACATTAAAAAAAGTTAATATATTGGAAAATTACATTAATACAAATTTATTAATATTTTATACATAATATTTTATACACTAATGATATATTTTTATTAATAGTATATCATTAGAAAATCGTACTCAAAGTAAGGTGTGTGAATAGTGCAGAAATTCCAATGTTGTAACTTTTATGGAACGGAGGAAGTATATACTAAATGTAGCTGGCCGGACTTATCGGCCCGAACGGGCCTACACCCTAACCCAAGCCCACCCATATCTTATTGCGGGCCGGGCTCAGGCCAGGCCGGTGGGTAAATATATATGCCCAAGCCCGCCTATTTATGCGGGCAGGCTGGACGGGCCGGGGGGGAGGGCAGCCCGGTTTTGTCCACGTGTATATAGAGGTCATATTTTTACCATTTTTCCTAGAATAATTAATACAGAGTAGAAGACTAAAAATAGACAATTTTGCTATATGTACCTTAAATTTACCCCATTTCCTACCTCATATAAAAACCCTCTCTCCTCCCCCAATTTTCTTCTCCTTCCCTCCCTCTCTCCTCCCTCTTTTCTTTTTACGCAGCCCCCCCCCCCCCCCCCCCCATCCTCTCCCCTTTCTTTCTCTTTTCTCCAAATCTTGATTTCTTCCCCATTTTAACTTCTCTCTCCATCAAATCTTCTCATTTTTACATTCTTTTCTCCCTCCAAGCTTCTTCTCCTGCTTCTCGCCTTTTCTTCTTCTTTTTTCGTTTTAAATTCAAGAGTTATAGTAGATCGGACGAAGGGGAGAGCTGGGTGACGTTGGATAGCTTGACATGGGGAGACAACGACGAAAGTGCAGACCAAGTAGCTTTGAATGACTTGAGAAGATCTACTTTTCTTGATTTTTTCTTGATTTTTTGGTGTGTTTTCGAAAAAAAAGTTGTCTGTCTGACAGATAACTGTAAGTGCAGTGTCTGTATTTGTTAGTAAGACTCATGAAGTTGTCTGTCATTTGATCGTTAGTTGTCTGTATTTGTTTTGAGTTGTCTGTCATGTTGTTGTGAGAAGTCTGTAAGAGTCGTGAAGTTGTCTGTCTATCTGTAATTGATGGTTAATTATCTGTATTTATTTTGAGTTGTCTGTATTTGTTTTGAGTTGTCTGTATTTGATTGTGAGTTGTCTGTATTTTGTGATGTTTATTTTTTTATATGTAATTAGTATAACGAGACAGACATTAAATATACACATTCAGACAATAAGTATACACATACAGACATTACTTTATTGTGAATTACCATTTTGGAATATGTTTCATAAAGAAGACAGACAATACGTATAACTAGACAGACAATAGAGATAACGAGACAGACATTATTTTCACCACAAATTACATACAACTCATAATGAAATGACAAACAACTAAGTATGAGTTACAGACAACTTCACAACTCAAAACAATTACAGACAACTAACAAACAAATGACAAATAATTAAATATCAATTACAGACATTTATTTTTCAAATGACAGACAATTTCATGACTCTTACAGACACTGCACTTACAAGTTGTTTGTATGACAGACAACCCTTTATATTTCGAAAATACATCAAAAATGAAGAAAACAAAATCAAGAAAAGAAGATCTACAGCTCAAGTTATTCAAAGCTTCTTGGTTTGCCTTCGCCGTTGTCTTCCCTTGAGGTTGCATCCGAAATAGCAACCAACGTAGGCCCACCATCGGCAACCGTTGTAGACCCGTCGTCGGCAACCAGCGTAGATCCGCCGTCGGCAACGACACCGGTGAAAGTGGATATAAGCAAGAGAAGATTTAAGGTTTGAAGGTGGAAAAATGGTAAAAATGGGAAAGATTTTGAGATGGAGAAGAAAGGAGAAGGGAGGGGGTGCGTGAAAAGAGGAGAGGGAAGGAGGAAGAGAGGTGGGGTGCAGGAGAGAGGAAGGGGGAAGAAAAGTGGCGGTGGGTTTTTATATGGGGTAGGAGTAGGTTTGGGATACAGCAAAATTGAAAAATAGAATAAGTTAAAATTGAAGATCAAACCTCTTCACCTGCCTGACCATTTTCTCCTTAAATCGCTCATTTGAAGAGGGCTGGCAAGCAGAGAAAGGAACTACATCAGAATCATCAGATGAACTCGTACTTTCCGCTCTAGTTCCAAATATTTTCTAGAGTGATCAAAATGACTGTTACAGCTGGAATTGGCTACGCACTGTTGGCGCTGGGGCCTTCTCTTTCGTTATTCGTCGCAGTTATCTCTCAAAAGCCATTTCTTATACTAACACTTCTCTCAAGGTTGAGTTTGTTGATTTTGTTCAAATTTTTTTATATATTTCATCATAAGTGTGTGCGATGTCGAAATTGAGCTCTTATTAAGCGATTTTACTTTTTGGGTTTAGTACTTTAGTGTGGTTGACAAGCCTGATTGTATTGTCTGCGGTATGGAGAGCATTCCTACCTACGGAAAAGACAGTATGGTGGCTTTATCTACTCATTCTCTCAAGTTCAGTGGCATTTCAAGAAGCTCTCCGCCCTTTACTGTGGAGACTCTACAAGTATATTCTTGTGACTCTTCTATTGAATTAATTTGGCCTATATTAAGCATTTAATGAGATTCTACAAATTTTTATTTACATTATGTTGAAGCATTTAGTTCATTTTCATTTTAAAGTAAAAACACTAGGTACATGTGAAGTTGATTAGTAGGCATTTCGATAGCAAGTCAATTGTTTGATATGAGTTTGGTCTTACTGCTCTCTATTTCTTTTGCCTTCTACACATAGCTGTCATGGCGTATGGAGACAGTAGTGGCGCCAAGGCATTTGTCCATGGAGATGACGCATTTATGGTGTCTCCACATGACACCAAAAATAAATACATAGTACTAAAAATATGAACTATAGACACTGTAAATATATGATTCAGTCACCAAATGATGATTTTTTTAATACCCACATTCTCACCAACGCATGTGAAGTTAAAATTGTTTAAAGTGGTTCCATAAAATAACTTTATATCCAAAAAAAGGTTTCATGTCTTCCAAAATATGTCAACTTGTTTGTGTGCGATGATTATGGTATAAGCATCATCAACTATCACACTCCCCGTCATCATCTGGATCTGAATATGATAACAATGAAACATCATCCTCACTCATTTCACTCTCAAAAGGATCTTCAATCTCACCCATCACATCTTCGTCTTGCAGCTGATGTGTGGTTTTAATAGCACCCTCTGGTGCAGGCGTGCAGCTTCCTGACTCCTTCATTACATTAGTTGAGCAGTTTTTTTGTCTTTACATTAGGTAGTGTCTTTATTTACTTCTTATTAGGGTTTTTATTAATATTATGGGCTGACTGGTTTGTTAATAATTGTCAGGGCTAAAGCCCATAAGTAACAAAGTAAACATGTTAATATTTGTATAAAAATATGGCACGGCGCCAATATTGGCGCGCAAGGCGATGGCGCCAATATGGTGCTGCCATGTGTAGAGTAATTGTCAGGAGGGCTTTTTGTGGCAAGGAGGCTTTGTATCACCATATGGCACCAACTATGCTACTACTAGATTTATATAATATTTAGCTCCATTAGATGTCTTTGAAGATCATGTTGAAGATTTAACTTCCTTGCATGTTACAACACGTCTAGTGATGAAGCTATTCCAGAGTGTGTAAAGAATTTGTGCACCAAACCATAAATTTCAGAGTTTTTTGGTTGTACAGATGGTTTTATCATCTGCTTAAAGTGGTAATCATTTTTTATCATCTGCTCAATTGAACCCAGTTTCATACACGTCATTTTCATCTGCTTAAAGTGGTTGTAGTGGTTGAAGTACCATTCTTTGAATGTTCGACCTCATTTAAACTTGCCTTGAAGAATCTAATTAATGTTTCTTAAATTACATATTCTTCACCAAGTAGTGTATTTTACTTCTGTTCTGATGGTTTTACTCCGTATTTATTTACTTAATTTATTTATTCAGAATTACAACTGAAAACTATTAAATAAATTCATTTCATATGGAGCCTATTTTAGGAGGCTTGAAGATGTATTAGATGCCTTTGCTGATAAAGTATCCAAACCACGCCTCTTTACCACTGATAAGATGCAGATTGCTCTCGGTAAGCTTTTGCCAGTGCTGGTTCCTGGGTATATATGATTTCAATAAACATATTACTAGAGTGATTTATGCATTGCTAGTTTGAAGGTCCTTACATCAGATTACTTTTTGTCTTTTCCAAATTAAAGTAGTTTTGGAAAAAATGGTGATCATCATCATTTTCACATTAACCGTCTACTCCTGCCATTCGAAAAGGGGGAGTGGCAGATATTAAGCGGAAGATGAGATGTTTCAAATAATGGAATACATATATTCTTTCTCTGATAGAGACTCCGGAATTCGACGGTAATTGAAGTAGATTAAGATGGAAATTGATGAAAACTGAAAAGAGAAAGATACAATGGAGACACTTCGAGTAATCTCAGCACTCCCAATCCTCAGTCCCAACTAATTTCTACCTACCTTCTTATCCCTCCCATCCCTTCTATCTAGGGGTGAGCAAATAACCGGTTTAACCGACCTGACAGAAACCCGATGACCGAACCGACCGAAAAAATCGGTTTTCGGTCGGTTTTCGGTTATAACAAAATAAAAAGAATCGGTTATTCGGTTTTTATTCGGTTATATTTATCGGTTATCGGTCGGTCACCGATAACCGTCCAAAATATATAAGTTTATATACTCCATAGTAGAGTAGTCTTCCTGTCCGGAATTCCGGATAGGAACCGCCATCCAGCTGACGGATTTTGGGGCTCTTCCCGGTGGAGTTTTTTGATGAAATTTTTATGACATGTTTTTCATTAAGTCTAGTTTATCCACAAAAAATTTAAGCTAAGTATTCCATCGGGAAGGTCGTCAAATGATTTTTGAAAGTTAACTGCGCTAAAAAATACATATAAAACGCAGTTAACTTCCAAAAATCATTTGACGAGCTTCCCGATGGAATTGTTTGCTCAAATTTGGTATGGATGAACTAGACTTGATGAAGAACATGACATAAAAATTTCATCAAAAAATTCCACCGGCCGATTATGGTCGGTTATGGTCGGTTATTCGGTTACCGACCGAAACCGAATGACATTTTTCGGTCGGTTTTTGTAATGTTGTCGGTCGGTTTTCGGTCGGTTATTTGAGTAAAAAATATTGGTCGGTTATTCGGTTATCGGTGGGTTATTTGACTGACCGACCGAATGCTCACCCCTACTTCTATCTATACTACCTGTACACTTAATATTATTATCAATATTTTATTATTTTTATTATAGAAATTGCTCTAAATTAGACTAAAACGTAGACAAAATGCACAAATAGGACTACATGTATTTTATTCCTGCAATAGGACTCATTTGATCCTGTTAAAAGTATAATCTTCCCCTATTAGGAGTGAATAAGTTATATTTTAGAAATAAAACAATGATAGTCCTATATGTGCACTTTGTTTATGTTTGAGTCCTATATAAGGAATTTTCTCTTTTTATTATTAGCTCTGTTCCTATCATTCTCTTTATGTTGCTTATTATAATTGTAATTTCTTGCCTTTCTCGAATTGGCAGCTGGTGGTATGGGTCATGGCGTGGCACATGCTATATTCTTCTGTCTAAGCCTATTGACTCCTGCATTTGGGCCAGGGACATATTATGTCAAACAATGCTCACAGATGTCGTTTTTCTTAGTTTCTTGTAAGTTTGAGTTGGCGATTCCTCTGGGATCTTGGACCTTCCATATATTGAAAGAATTACATATATGATTTACTGATTGCAGCCAACCATATTTTATTTGTTTATGATGATGATTTTGTCATGGTTATATCATTTGTACACAACCAATGTGTTATACCTAATGTACTTTTGGGAAATTTGGCATTGCATGTGTACCTGAATATTTGGCCTTGCACCCCATGTCTTATTTTCTTTGATTTTGCATCCCAGACGGGGTGCCAAGTCATATACTAAGGTAAACATAAAGTGTGACTAGCGAGAAAGTATGGACTTTGCACCATGTGTTTACTCCAATATTTGACTTTCGCCACACTTGGGGTGCAAAATCAAGGTGATTAACACACCGGATCCTAATGCCAAATTTCTCGATATATTTTTCACAACCAAGTTTTCTCTAGAATCAGTCATGTTCACAATATGCATATTGTTTAAAAAAATATTGATCTTAATAACATGGTATTGGAAGGTCTACAACATCATCTCATGTTTCCTTCATGAGAAGGTTGTGATGGGAAGGGCATCAAAATATCCCACTGTTTTTTTTCTGTTTTGCATGACTTTCAGTGTTTATTACTCCGTATTAAGGAACTAGCAACTTAATCTCACTGGCCCCTACTTGCTTGCATTTAGGACTTATCATTTTCACTTATTTTTATTTTTCAATATACAAGGTAATGGATATATAGTATATATTGTTTCATGTGTCTTTATATATATCTGCAGCAATAATTGCTCTTGCCTTTGCTACCATCCATACCTTCTCAATGGTCATAGCATTCAATGGATATGCAGAAGGAAATAAACCGGACCAGATTTTTGTCCCCGTAGTTCATCTATTTGCTGCAATGTTTGTGAGTTCCTTGTCTTTCGTAAAAAACCAACGATGCTTTGCATTTTGTGTGGCATATAATAATTCGTCTTCTTCTGCTTATAGTGATGATCTTAGTTGGTGGATCTGCTTTTATGCGACTTATGATATTGATAGAGAGCGGGAAGAGCATGGGACGGGATCGGGCTTGAGCCCACTTCCGTGGACCGAGTTAGGGCTGTCGTTATAGTTTAATTATTATTATTAAGTTAATGTTATGTTTTAGTTTGAGCCTATTATTAGTAGAGTAGTTAGTTGAGTTAATTTGGGCTTAATTAGGGTTTAATTAATATGGGCTTGATTAGGGTTTCTTGTAGAAGGCTATTTATACCCCTCGCCAGGGCTCATTCTTATTATCTTGGAATAAAGTTAGAGTTCACCCCGTTGATTTCTATTTTTCTGTTACATAACAATTGGTCCGACCTGTCGGATCCCGTCTCGCCGGAATGACGAGATCAACCAACGAACGTTTATCAGAATTGGAGGCTGAACAGGCCCTAATCAATCAAAAACTTGACACGCAAGGACAGAAACTTGATCTGCAGGGACAGAAACTTGACACACAAGATCAGAAACTGGAAGAGCAGGCCGCCCAGCTTGAGGAAATCGCAGCCTCTCTTGCAGCAATCGCGAACGCTATGGTGCCGCCGCAGAAATCTCCCATCACGACCGTCGAGAGCGATTCCTCCGGCCACGTCGCATCTGTCTTCTCCGATGATGGCGGACTGCGCACCGCAGCCACAACGCTACTTCCCTCATTCGATGGCGAAGACCCAATTGGGTGGTTGGTGAGAGTGGAGCAGCAGTTCGAGCTCAACAGGACCCCACCAGAGAGAAGTTGCAGCGGCTAGGGTTTCTATGGAAGGGGCTGCCCTCTATTGGGTGACGTGGTTAAAGGCGCGCAAACCTGGCATATCTTGGGAGGAATTTAAGCAAGCCTTGGTGGCCAGATTTGATTCCCGATATCAAGGAAACAGGTTTGAACGGCTGTCCGGCGTCAAACAAATTGGGTCGGTGGAGGAATACAATACCTTGTTCGTTCAATTGGCTAGCCAAGTTCCGGGATTGACCGACGATCATTATTTGGGCTACTACATGAGTGGACTTGGGGAAGCAATCCGAAGTTCGTTGCGCTTATTACGGCCAGAAAACCTGGAGACAGCCATGGAATTAGCTCGCGATGTGGAGCATAATCTGTCCGTCCAAAGTGGAGGAAGTGACAGCCCGAATTATAATTCTGCAGGGGTACGTTCCAGCAGCTTTTTAATGGCAAACACGGGTCCTCCTTTGACTGCCAGTGGTGGCAGCTTGCAGGGATCAAGGGGCAGCTTTGCGAAGGATAGTGGACAGCCTCCAGGGACGAAGTCAGGGCTGTCCGGACAGCCTACGACACGCTCTCATTTCACTCGTCTTCCGCCAAAGGAGTTCGCAGAATTGAGGGCGAAAGGATTATGCTTTAGGTGTAAGAAACCATTTACACCGGGGCACGACTGTCCCTTTAAGCAGCTGCGGGTAATGATAGCCGAGGAGGAGGAAGAGTTAGACCTCCAACAGCATGAGTAATGTGAAATAACCGGCCAGGAAAGAGTTCAGGAAAGAGAGAAAGGATATTTTCCAGTCTATTCTATGTTTGGGAATTTCAGCTCCCCATCTGTCAGCTTTCAACCTTGAGGACAAGGTTATTTTGAAGGAGGATGGATTGATAGAGAGCGGGAAGAGCATGGGGCGGGACCGGGCTTGGGCCCACTTCCGTGGGCCGAGTTAGGGCTGTTGTTATAGTTTAATTATTATTATTAAGTTAATGTTATGTTTTAGTTTGAGCCTATTATTAGTAGAGTAGTTAGTTGAGTTAATTTGGGCTTAATTAGGGTTTAATTAATATGGGCTTGATTAGGGTTTCTTGTAGAAGGCTATTTATACCACTCGCCAGGGCTCATTCTTATTATCTTGGAATAAAGTTAGAGTTTAGCCTTTTGGCTTTGGGCAACGATATTTTTATCGTTGATTATCTGGGCAACGGTTCACCCCTTTGATTTTTGTTTTTCTGTTACATATCAGATATTCTGATTCCCCCCAATATTAATTTATTAGATGGTTTTGCAGACGCTCATAAATCTTGCTCAAGGGGGTTGTGTTGTTGGTATTCCTTTGTTGTATTTCACGGCAATGCTAACTTTGGGGTATTGCGGAAAGATGGTGTTCAAGAGGCTTTCTGAAAACAGGAGCAGGCAAGCAAATTCATTATAACTGCAGGCCCTTTGTTTCCTGGATTGAGGGAAGAGATTTTGCTTTAGATGATAGCTTTTGTGGGTAAAATATTCTCTGAGAAAATATCCAACAAAGAAAGATAAAACTCTCTTATGTAAAGCCAGATCCTGCATCCCTACCAGGCCAGGACGTCAAGTCCTCAATGGCTAAATGGCCTTTGACAAGAAAAAGCCAAAAAATGAAAGCCACTTTGAGTAGTTTTTTACAGCTTTTCTATTTTATATATTAAGAGCCTAATATACCCTTTAATTTTACCTCATACATTAATTATTTAATAAGTACTCAAAAATAAAAATATTATTTGAACTAAAATAAAAATGCTAATGAAAGTGTATAAACAATGATAAGAAATATCATTATGAATATTGTTACTATGTTATAATATATTTTTTAAAAGATGTTCTAATATTATTTTATAATCTTTTAAAAATAAATGCATTTAAAATAGGAAAAATTGAAAATAATAATCTCAACTATTGACGGTCCGCTAACAATAATCTCAATTATTGATTATTTTTTTATAATCCCAACTATATGGATTATGGATCATCCGCCAATAATGGTCCATGACCACATATTAACTGCTCTAACAAGTGAATTATTGATAGAAATTAAGCGTAAAAATTAAAATTTGGGATTATTTATAGAGATTATCTGCTATATCTCTTTAGAAACTATAGGAATTTATTTATAGTCAGTCACATCGGATCATTATTGGCAGAAGGTCCCTAAAGTTGGGATTATTCCGAAATAATTGATAGTTGGGATTATTATGAGCGGACCGCCAATACTTGGAATTATTACAATCAAATTTTCCTTTAAAATATTAATACTAAAATAAACGAATACGTGTGCGAACTCCCACATGCGTGTGTGTGTGTGTATTGATATTATAGTAATTATTATATAAAATAGTAGTAAATGTAATTCATTATTTTCCAAAACTCATCAAAATATAAAATATGAAAAAATAAGTTATATATGTATATATAATTCATACCCTTAATGTTGATTTTAAGTCGTACTAGATCAAAATATGCAATTATGATTTATATAATTTCTCGATATCAATCCGTTGATACAATCGGCTATTAACTAACTGCCAAATCAGCTATTGATTGTCAAACACCACTGATATAAATCATAATTGCATATTTTGGCATAACCAATTGTATTAATGTTGTAATTAATAATTTTTTTGAAGATGACAATGATTACTTCTATTTAGGAAAATTATAATAATCTTATATTATAATTTCACACTATTTTTACTCCTATTATGGGAATATGCATGAATCACCAACATTGTAAACAAATGCCAACATTGTACCAAAAGGGGTGAAACTACAAAAAATGTATTGTTAGGTTTTGGGATGAAAATTTTTATTGATATTGTTGAATTGATATTTTTTTTAAGCTTTCTAACCTATTATTGTTATTGATATTGTATATGTTCTATGAATTGACATATTTTATTAAGTTGAGTTATCTAAAATATAGTTAACTAAATAAATTAAAGAAAATGGTATCACAAAAGTAGGACATATAAACTACTTGTCATCATTTCAACTACTATTTTTTGATTGACTTTGCGTGTTCTTAGGTTTCCAGTGCAGCTCTCTAGAGAACGAGAGAACCAGGACTGATTGGCCAGACACTGTCAAGTTCCCAACATGCGGGAGGAAACATTGATTGAGAAACCACTCAAGCCAACCTCATATTTACTCCTATTTAGGGCAATACATTTTACTCTATCACTAACATTGCAAAGGAATGTCAACATTGTACCAAAAAGGGACGAAAATATAATTATTGTGTTGTTAGGTTTTGGGACCTATTTGGATTAGAATTTTAATTCAAATTGTTGAATTGACATATATTTTATTACAATAGTTATAATGAGTAATCTAAAATATAGTTAAACTAAATAAGTTAAAGAAAAGGGTATCACAAACGGAAGACATATACTCCCTCCGTCACAAACGGAAAACGGTAGTACACTAATTGTCATCACTTCAACTACTGCCTCTGTATTTAAAAGTATACTACAATATGTTTGAGCACATTATTTAAGAATGAAATAGTTGGGGTAATGAATAATGTAGAAAAAGTAGTAGAGATGGTCAAAAAAGTTTGAAAGGGAAGATAAAAAAGTAATTTGAATGTTTTTAAAAGAAAATTTATCAAAAAGAGAAGTGTAGTAAACTTTTAAATACATCCAGATAAGGAAAACATAGCAAATTTTAAAATGTGCAGGGAGTATTGTTTTTTATTGATTGTCTTCTTAGGTTCTCAGTGCAACACTTAGGAGAATCGAGACCGATTGGCCATATATAGTCAAGTTCCCAACATGCAAAACCATAGAATTTAGACTTCCATAACTACAATTTACGAAAATAAAAAAAATATAGAATCTCTCACTAGGTACTTTCAAATGATCGACCTAATAAAATTATTTTTCTGTATCTAAATTACTAAAAATTCCAAGCAATTTATGACTAAAATTTGTCCAATTCCCCACGCAAACAAACTGCTTGTTACAAACAACATCTTATTGGAACAGGGTAAATGCTCACTAATCGGGCTAACGTTGAACTTGGTAAAATGCAAGTGTTAAGCAACTGCAAAACAAGATGATTGAGAAATAAAAAGATATTCTCTAGATCACGGAGAGATCACTTTAGCTAGCCTCAGAGCTAGACTGCTAGAGTATATCCATCTATGAAAGTTCTTTCAAATTCACCTCGTTAGTAATTTGAATCCAAGATCTTCATATAGAGAGGATTTCAGGTGTGAAATGTGGTCAACTTGAACCACATTTCACAATTTATTTATCAAGGAATATTGGTACATTGAATCCGGATTTAAAAAATGACCTATTTTACAATTTTTACATACATATAAAAACGTCACTATAGTAATTTATTACTACGTACTTTATTATGTCACTACAATTACTAATAAAGCCCTCATGGAATGTCACTGTGAGCATTAGAAGAAATTTCCGACAACTTTTCTTGTCGATATTCCTGCTGTCACCAATGGTGAAAGTGACTCAAGGAGAGGCACGCGCGGAATGAGAAATAATATACTCCGTAAGGATTAGGAAGAGGAAATATAAAATAATTAAACAAAGGTTAATCAGATTTCAGGGGAAAACAATAGTCATTTTTAATAACATTTTTACAAGAAAATATTAAAACCCATTTGGCGACTTGCTTTTCACATTATCAACTTTATTAGCCTTTCAAAAAAAATCTTATTAGCAAATTTATTCACCAAATACGTAACTTTTGATTTTGCGCGTTTGAATTATACAACAACACCAACAACCAAGCTTTAATCCCAAAAAAATTTGAGGTCGGTAACATGAATCGATGTATGATATCAATGCCGAACAGAGAGACGGACAAGGAGGGGGGAGTAAGATAAAACAGATAAAATGAAGATAAATAAATACTCCTTCCATGAGTCCATCCCATTGACTTTGCCAATTTTCCCTTTTTGGTTGTCTCAAAAAAATTTGTCACTTTCCAATTAAAGCAATTAATTTATGATTCTACACACTTCTCTCTCCTCTACACAAATCTGAACCACACAATTTTTACTTTTCTTATTTCTCACCTACTTTGCACTTGGCAAAGTCCACCGGAACAGAGGTAGTATAAGATAACAATAACATAAGACTATAAGAAAAAGAAAAAATTTAAAGATAAAAAAGTATAAAAAAGCTAGAAGATAAAAATAACATAAGAATAAAAAAAGATAAAGATAATAAATGATAAAAGAAAAGAGAAAAAATATAGAAAAGACATCAATCATCCACATGAATCTGCACTCTTTACTTTACTCTCTTCAAAGTCATACTCTCATCCAACCCAAGAAGACGCATATCACTACATCAGTTCCGATTTCTCTAATCCAAGTCTGTCTGGATCTTCCTTTCTCTCTCTTCTATGTCTCTTCTCCCTACCCCTCAAGTCGTCTAACAGGTGCATCACTCGGTTTTCTACGCATATAATAATCAAAATAACTAAGTTGGAGTTACTTTTCCGACTAAATTGACTAAAATTACTTTAGATGATCATTTTAGCTATTTGTTATATAATTTTTTCTTTACTTTTTTATTAAAATACAGAGTATATTTTGAATTTATTTTTTTCATAATTCAGGTGATTCGGCCACCTTAACAAGAACTTTATCAATTTCAACATAATAAGTTGTTTAGCCAAACGGGTTCTTAATCATATTTTTATCTTAAAAAGTATAGGCCAAATGACTGATATCATCAATGTTGTCCACCCAAAATGTTCTGAGTATCATTCAAATAAAAATGTTAAGGTTATCCTATTTTATGTTAGCAGGAAATGTCCTTTTGAACTGCTAAAGTCAAGAAAAGCCCAAACCATTTTGCAAGACAAAATTCAAGCAACAACCCAATATTATGCAGTCACAAATCAGCACATCATATCTGTAGTACAATATCCACACGATCAGCCATCTCTAGTTCTCTACATATGATACACACTTCGACTAAGTAACTAACATAACATTATCCACACCAATCTCTGTAATACTCCGTATCAGTTTTCGAACACACTACGATTAGCGGTCTTCAGTTATATATTCACAAGTTGCAACGTCTCCTGAGAATGTCCTGGAAAGCTGTATATGTAAGGAAAGAATAAGTTCTGCACACCCTGCAGAATATCACATTTTCTCACTTAAGTACACTCAAACGGGCAGCTGAAAAAGAGACTACTAGACAAAGGCATATATATGGGGCGTATTCTTTTTTTGTTAATGCCCAAGTGATTCTTTTTGTTAAATAGTTAGTCCCAACAAAAAACTAACTCACATATACCCACTTGACGAAGGCTAAGTTCTGATTAAGTAACCACTCGAACTAGCTTCAGACTGGAGGATAATCATTTGACAAAATTCTTATTGACCCCCTTGATGATTTAAACTAAAGACCTCCCGACATGGGAGGATCTCATGTGTGGGGAGTGACCACTCGTACTTATAAAAAAGGGAGAACTATCAAATAAGCCCTCGAACTTTCATAAAAAGTGCAAATAAGCCCTTTTATAGGAGGCTCTGTCCGGCCATCGCCATTTGGAGCGGTTTCCGGTGGAATTTTTTGATGAAATTTTTTTAACATCTTCTTCAAGTTTACTCATATCAAATTTCAGATACAAATTTCAGATACAAATTCAATCGGGAAGGCAGTCAAATGAATTTTTAGACAGCGCAGTATATTTCAGAAAATCATTTGACTGCCTTCTTGATTGAATTTTTAGCTGAAATTCGGTATGGGTAAACTACACTCAATGAAGAAGATGCTAAAAAAATTTCATTAAAATCTTCTACCGGAAACCGCCCCAAATGGCGACAGCAGGACAAAGCCTCCTATAAAAGGGCTTATTTGCACTTTTTATGAAAGTTCGAGGGCTTATTTGATAGTTCTCCCTATAAAAAAACATTTCAAGTTTGGCATTGTTCAGAACACATCCACTAAAAATCCTTAATAGTTCGTTCAAAAGACGGTACATGTAGGGATTATTTTCAAGACTGAAAAGAAAGAAAGATGAAGTTAAAACAGAAGATCATACCAGTTCAGATGTCATAATCAGACTTGGGGTGGAGACTCTGGTTCAGAACCAAAAACAGAAGAGAAAGACAGGGTCTCTTCTTTTGCGATGGCCACGAAATTCAGAGGAGCTGGTGAAAGCCTTCTTATTCCCTTGTTGGAAAACCCATTTTGATGTCCAGGATAGGAATGAGGTGTCAAAAGTTCTGGAGATGGCCCACCAACAGATCTCCGGCGCGGTGACGAAGTTGATGGAGTTACAGATCCATTGATATTCTTAAAGCTACTGCTGGTGGTGCTTCTTCTTCTCGGGCTTGGTTTAGAGCCATAGATTGCTTCCTTTTCAGCAAGGAGCATATTCTGGTGTTTCTTTTGATCCTGCAAACAATGTGAAAGTAAAATAAATAACCTCATTGGCAAATGGTGTTCCCACAAACATAAATCATTCTGCTTTTTTCTTTTCTTAGACCTCAAAGTGGTGAAGTTTGCCTCAAGTCTTCTTGGTGTAAACAGAATGCTATAATTCAAATGCTATAATTTCACATATAATGTTAAAAACCTTCGATTTTTATAAAAACTCAAAGACTTATTATAATTGTAGACCAAGCACTCCAAACCTGTCCATCCAAACAGAGCTAGGGTATGCTTTTGAGTTTAGAATTTGGAGGGCTTTAGAAGGGAAAGGAAGGGAAGGAAAGAGAGGGGTTAATCTATTTAGTTGCAAAATTAAGAGAAATATGTCTGATTTATGGTGAAGGGGGAGTCTTGGCGCACCAGTTACAGTGTTGCTGTGTGACCGAGTGGTCACAGGTTCAAGTCTTGGAAGCAGCTTTTTGTTAAAAAGACATGGACGGCTTGCAAGAATGCCAATGTGCACAGGCTGCCCTTTTTTATGTATGTTTTATGGTAACAAATAGATGAACAGGTGTGCTCTTAAAGATTTATCATTGAAACATTACCAATTTATCATTTTTGTATCCTTTAATTAGAAAATGTAATCATATTAAGGTGCTGTTCTCTTAAAATTAAAAAATACCGCAGCTCACCCTAAAAACCTAAATCATACCCTTAAAGAACACTGGATGATCAGACACTTTAAATTACACGTAATAATGCAAGTCCACAAGTAAACTATGTTTTGGGCCGATTTTGGTTTGAATCCGCCTACATAAAACTGAGTGAATTTTTTGTATTATTGAAAAGTTACCCGAGCACGCCTCGTCTCCTCCTCTTTCTGTTGTCGGGTCACTTTGTAATCCTCCAATATTGACACCAAGCGTTCCTGCCAAGCACAAATAAAGACAGCGCATTTGGTTGGATATGTGAAAAGATTACCAAGGAAATTCTAGCAGCACGGGAACTCACCCCGTCATACAGAAATAACTTCTTCTTCTCCTTTTCCCAAGCTAGCGTCTTGGTGATCAGATTCACAACCATTCCTGAATATAAGATCTAAGTAATAAGGCAGCTCATAGAAATTTGGTGCAAACAAAAATGTAGGGATGGATTACCTGGAATCTTACTGACTAGAACTCGAGCTCGTTCGGCTCGCTTTAAGTTTAGGTGAGCACCTCTTCCACCACTATAATGGTTTTTATTCTGCCATCAAGGGAGCTATTCAAACTTGGAAAGATCGAAGAGTCCAAAAGACTTGCAAATTTGATAAAATAAGAATAGATATTATGTGTAATTAGCATTGACATTGTTAAAGAGTTTATCCCACATTGCCTAAATGTGAAATACTTCGTAATAAACTAACATATTAGATTGACTTTTTAGGTTGACTTTTTTAAAATGAACTCTGATGACTTAATATTCCCTCCGTTCTTTTTTAGTTGCAACGGTCAACATTTCACATTTTCCAACGCACGTCTTTGACCGTAATTATATCTTAATTCTATTAGTAAAAAAATATTAAAAATCAGATTTTGAAAATTTGTAATGAGATGAACTGAACAATATTTTTTCAAAAAAATAATTTTCATAAAATATTAGCGTAAAATGTAGTCAAAGTAGAGCATGTGAATAGTGTAAAATTCAACATGTTGCGATTAAAACATAACGGAGGATAGTATATGATATGAGAGTCCGCTTGATTCGTACTTATGTAGATCCCTATGAAAATCGACAAGTATGGTCTTTGCAAAATCCTAGGTAAGAATAAGCACATCTGTATCATGACCTCTCTCAATGCAAACAACTTAATCTCAATAAATAACGTAATACCAAAGTTGTTGAAGTTACATATTAAAGTCATACCAAAATATTTTATTGGCATTTATCAGTATTATTTTTTGCGGAGTACTAAAACTTTGTTATTTTTCTTTAACCTTAATTTAGGCCCTCATTAAAATTATAATACTCCCTCCGTCCCGAAAAGGTTCGCCAAATTGATTTTTCTTGATCAATGACAATCAACTTTGACCAATAATATTTTTTAATACGAAATTATTTTGAATTTGAAAATTATATCAAAATGTTCCTTACTCAAAATACTTTCATAAAAGTATAAATTTATAAATTATATACAACAACAACAACAACATCCAAGCCTTACAACAACAACAACATCCAAATTATAAATTATATACAAATATAATAATTAAAATCATTGTCCAAATTTTGCCATCATTGACCAAGAAAAGTCAATATGGTGAACCTTTTCGGGACGGAGGTAGTATCATACTTCCTCCGTTCTTAAATAAGTGCAACAGTCAACATTTCACACTTGTCGAGACACAACTTTGACCATTAATATATATAATTCTCCATTAGTAAAAAAATTTAAAAAAATTGTTTTTGAAAATTTACAATGAGACAAATTTAATAATATATTTTTCAAAAAAAATATATTAATACATCAATAAATAAAATGGAGTCAAAGTACAACATGTGAATAGTGTAAAATTTCACATGTTGCACTTATTTAAGAACGGAGGTAGTATTAAGGTTTATGAGGAATTCCTCGGCAATACAAACCGTGAATGCATTTTTTGCATTTGTGGCTTACTAGGTTAAAATCTTCAAGCCAGGTTTCCTCCTCACAAGCAGAAAGCCATCGCTCTATCCTGCCAATGATTTCATTTCTGCTCAAAGCTTCATCTTTTGCTTTGTTTATCTGTGCTTCAATGTTTGTCAATAGTTCACAAGGATCAACCAGACCTGTATACATGAAAATTAATAAGGAACTGCCGGATTGAAGTTTTTCAGAGTCATAAAATGGGTATGGAGGGGAGTCTCACCAGAGTCAATCAATGCAGAAGATTTATCAACAGCTGTGTTCGGATCAGGGTCAATATGAGTTTTATAGCATAGGTCCTCCAGCTCTGACCTCCTTTTCATCACTAATTCCTTCATTCTGCTTGCTTTTAGTTTTGTGAGCCTCTCAACTTCTGTTGTCACCTATTAGTTGGTGCACAAAATAGTAAATCCAACCCATTCACTCTTTTCCAATTTGTTGTCATTTATTTGATGAGCAAATATCCCTTTTTAATTGGACCCACAAGTTCAGTGCCATTCTCGCATTTGGTCCTCTACTTAAAAAAATATTGTCTCACTCACAAATAATTGTCGTTTTGGAGGAAAACTTGTGTTTCACAATGTTTGTCATTTTATAAAACTAAGGCAGCATTTAATGATTTTTTTAAGAGAAAATGAGAGACTTACGGGAATATTATGCAGGTGTTCCAAAAATACGAGAGTCACAATTAGGGTACAACGTGGTGTTGGAATCTAAATTAGGAGAATGGGAAGAGAAAAATAGGTGATGGTTTGATTTTTTTTTAGTTCATGCCCACCACCAATTTGTCTACTTCGAATTTAGAGTTAACCCCATCCTTTTAAAAAACACCAACAACAACATCCAAGCCTTATCCCCAATAGATTTTGGGGAAGGTTAACATGAATCGATCTATGATATCAGAGCAAAAAGAAAGGAAAGATTAGAAAAATAAAAAGATAAGGTAAAATAAAAATAACATAAGAACATAAGATAGATAAAAGAGACAAGAGATAAAGAACATAATAAAAATAAAAGATGAAAATAACATAAGAACATAGAATGATAAATAAAATAAAAGATAAAAGAAAGAAAGGAAAAATGAAGAAAAGAGATCAATCTCCACGCGTATACTCGCCATACTATCATCCAACCCAAGAAGAAGCATATCACTCATGAATCATGATTCCTCTAATCCAAGTTTGTTTGGGCCTCCCCCTCCCCCTCCTACCCGCCTGTTCGCCCCAAACATACTCCCACTTTACTCTGTCCAAAGTCATACTTTCATTCAACCCAAGAAGAAGCATATTACTTCTGATTCCTCTAATCCTTTTAAAAAACATCAAACAAGTTTTCCTCTAATCTTCTTAAAATAAAGTATCCACATTTTAAGCCAGTTCCAACACTTAAACTTATACTCCAATGAAATGAGGCAAAACTAAAAGCAACAAACCAAGATTTTTCGAATGATCACCATCCAAATTTAAAATAATAATTTATTTTGGACGGCCATCATCCAATTTTCTCTACCCTGCTACTTCCCCTAAGGCCCTAATTTTTTCGGATTCTCTCACTTTGATTTACATAATGTTAGAAGCCCCACAAAAAATTCTGTTGTTAAGCCCCACAAATCAGTTACATCCTAAAAAGTCAAACTGATAAGAGGAGTAGCCCAAAGTCTTATATAGTGTTTTATTAATTTTATAATTTTTCCGATGTGGAACAAATACTTTAACACGCCCCTTCAGTCTGAAGGGGTTGAACAATATTGGGGTGTATAAATGGATCAAATAGACCCTTAACAAGCTACACTTAATCATGAGTGCTAAACAAACAGTCAAACCACAACCGGATATGACTCTGATACCATGTTAAGATCTAAAGTTTTATCCGGAAAGATCAAGCTTAAAAGGTAACAGGGGGATCTGCAGGGGCCAGTCCCCCTGATGCAACCGTCCGAAAAGCTAGTTAAGTATAGAGGAAAGGGGAAGGGGGGCCGGTCCATTCCATGAAGTTTCTTAGCGACGAAGAACTCAGAACTAGCTCGTTTGAGGGAGACAGGGAATGAGATTGCGATTTACGATTTGGGATTCTAGTCTTGCCGAAGGGGTGGGGGTGGGGAGATTCCGATTTACGATTTGTGAAGTGCCAGAGATGGGGCCATTCAATAACTGTTCCAATTGCATTGACTTAGTTTATTGTCTAATCTTTTAATCTTTTAGTTTTTTTTCATTGTTAGTCGGCTAACACAGTATATTTTGTGCATTTAATTGATTTTTTATATTTTATTGTGTACATCTTTTTTTCAGTATACTCTTCCCGTTCTAAATTGATTTGTAAAATAATTAATTCAACTTTTAATAATTAAATTTTTTTTGTCAACCAATGTTCAAATTAAATCCTCCCTATAGATAATTAATTCAACTTTTAATAATTAAAATTTAGATTTTCAGAAACTACATTAACATCTCTTCAAAGTTGTAAAATTCAAATTAGAATATAATAAAATTTGGTATCCTAATTAAGTGATTAAAGTGAAATTGTTTGGAAAAAAATGCAAATCAATTTGAGACAAAAGTAATATTATTTAATCTTTTAGTTTTGGATCATTTTCTATCACACCACCCGGACTCTACGAGCCAGTTAACCGTCGCCCGCCGGTGTTCACACATCTCGTCACTTACCGCCGCGTCCGCCGACAAATCCCTCCACCGCGTGCCCCCCTTAAATTTATTTCTAGTTCCGCCACCGATGGGTAAGCCATAACTGCTACCTACTTCAATTGAGCAGACAAAGTTCTTGTCGTGAGACGGGCCTATCTCCTTCTCAACGCTGTTAGTAGGTTTAGACCATTTTTTTTCTACAAAGTTCATACAACTTCTGCTTTGCCCCATCGTTGTCCTTAGTCTCATCGAACTCAAAGCTGATTTTTTTCAACTTTATAAGGCAGCTTCTATAGTTCAGCCTTCACAGCATGAAGCCTCACATTTTCCTTCTGCTCTAAAGATGAAGAGATTAGGTGTTCTCCATCAATGTAGATGCTCGCAATGTTGTTCAGTCCAACCTTCTTGTGTCTTATATCAACACATTTTCCAACTTTTTGGTAATGTTCAAATAGCATTGTCAACAGGCTGAGGTTGGTTTTGCAGCAAGTCAGGGGTGATTATTGGCTCCGATAAGCATCTAAAGACCTTCAAATTGATCCCAACATTGACGTTTACGGCAGCGGCTATAGACTCAATGATGTCTGCAAGAATTTTCGGTGCTTTGATTGCTCCACCATAGAACTCGGTCTTGTCTTCTTCCTCGACCGCTAGCACAAACTCCTTCATCTATTCTTCAAGAGAAGGGGCATTGTGGCGGACATATCTAGACTGTGATGGACAGCTACCCTGGCGAGCTTCTTGGTGTTGACATTGGCTGACCGACGAAAGAGATAGCTGGCCAGGGTCAAGGTTGGGATAGGATAAGTAGACGAAGTTGGAGATGCCCATCCCTAAAGCCATGTTGCCTAGGAATTCTAGAAGCTTGTAAGACAACGACTTTGTTAAAGAAGAGTGGGTAAGAGCTTTTTCCAGAAGCTTCGCTATTGATAATTGACTGAACACGGAGGCTTCTGTTAACGTCTCTGTTGCCGCCCATCTCCGACATGGAGGATTCTATCAACGGTGTGGAAGCTTCTGGAAGAAGCTCTTAAGTCTTACCCACTCTTCTTTAACAAGTCGTTGTCTTATCAGCGTCCAGAATTCCTAGGCAACATGGTTTTAGGACCGGCCATCTCCAACTTCGTCTACTTATCCTATCACGACCTTGACCCTGGCCAACTCTCTCTTCTTCGGTCAACCAATGTCAACACTGCGAAGCTCGCCAGGGTAGCTGTCCATCACAGATATGTCCGCCACAATGGCCCTTCTCTTGAAGAAAAGATGAAGGAGTGTGTGCTAGCGGTCCAGGAAGAAGATGAGAAGCATATGACATTTGCATCTTTGAGACAAGCAAATGTATTGCTTCTGCTTGAATCACCGCTGAAAAAGCCAAAACTTGATGCAGAGGAAAGCAGCCCATTGAGCGAAATGTCGAGCGACAACAACGAAGGTTTAGAGCACATCAACGACAAAAACCTCATCGATGAATATGTAAAGTATGAGCGCCACATCGATGAAAGCGATGGTTTTGGTATAGATTTCGTTCCGCGGGCGTTTCGTTGCATAATTGAAATGCCACATTTTGCCGTGCCAACTTGATAACCCAGAGGAGATGGAGTTTATCCAGGAGTGTATTGGTTTTTCTATTGCTGAATACAATCAGCTCATGGGAGTACAAGCAAATGGCATTCATTAGGAGGAAAGGTGAAAAGAAAGTTATTCTTTATCCTGTTGATTTGGAAGACAAAGAGGATTACAAGCTGATTGAGAAGTGTATTGATTATGCTCTTTCCGAGTACTGTGAAATGCAGGACGATATATTGAAATCCCAGCTGCTGCTGCTGCTTCAACTTACGAGGATAGTATTTGAGGCGATGGATGTCATGTCACGCCAGACTGATACTTACTTTGCTGAGGCGACTTGTGCCTCTCGTGTGGAAAATGATTTAATAGGGGTGCAAGACCTGTGGCGGAAAGGTCAAAAGAATCATGAATATGATGATAAAATTGATGAAGAGGATTGGGGATGCTTGGAAGATGGAGTTTTGCGATGCTTGTAAGAGCATTATTTAAATTTGTAGCTTGCTCTGATATCATGTTGAGACTCGGGGTGTCATCCTAAAGGGTCAACCTGATACGAGGAGTAGCTCAAAATCTTATATAATATTTTATTGTTTTTATAGTTTTCCGGTGTGAGACAAATACTTTAACACCCGCATTTGGTCATCTATGCATGCTTTTCCCATGTTTTAAGAGAACACCCATTTTTTCATCTTTGCCCTTCATCAAGGCCAATGCAAAATTGATCTTTAACCATAACTAAATCTTAGTAGGATTTTATATAACTTTGGTTGTTAAGCTGCTTTGAGACAATCTAAAAAGACAAGGACAACAACATCGTTATGTGCCTCACGTTGGACATTTTTACTAGATTTGTGTTTAATAATTAACTATGAGGTAAATTTCACTTGTGTGTAATAAATAAGTATGATTTAGGCGCAAATATTATATGGTACCGGAGCCAAGTACAACAGTGGGTGATTTGCTTGTTTGGCATACCATAACTTAGTCGGTTTGACACATTATCCAACTTGTCAACTTTTGTGGTCAATGAAGTCCAAATTTAATAGGGATTATCAGCAAGGAATAGAAAGAAAGAAGAAATAAAGCTTTTGCAAACCTGTTGAATGATCTCCAGTGAAAGAGAACCTGGCTCCAAAATATCTGATTCTGGAGAACTCACAATGGAAGTAACTGTGAAGAAGTTAAACCTATCTTCTTGTTCCTTTCCCATCAAGTTCCAGAGTTCAAATAGCGATCCAGCAACTTCTTTTAGCTGCACCAGTGATGCAGATTATCGTTCCCCAAAAAGTAACAGAAAAACAAATGCAGCATAATGGGAGGAACAGTACCTTCTGGAAACGCAGTTTTCTTTCTGTTTTTAACCGGATGATGGCCTGATTTAAGCCCTGCAACGTGCTGTCACTGATATTCATACACTGTCCAGACTCGCGCAAACTTGGATGGACATCACTGACGGTTTTCCCAAATTCAACCCCAAGAACAGCACACAAGGAATGAACTTCATTGACGAACTCCAAAATTTTTCTGACACGCTCAGTCTGTGGAGGGTAAAAAGAAAAATGAGTTATATCAAGTAGTTGACAAGTTTTTTTACCGGAAGAATGAGTCTTTAAATACCATGTATGGAATCATGAAATAAAAAGAAAACTGTAATATCAAATGTGTTCATTGGCAATGACCTATTTAAAACAGGTAAAAATGTTTCCGAATATAGTGACCTGTTTTTTTTACAAAGTGACCAAGTAGGCAAAGCAGGACACAGGTTAACACCTTCGCATTGTTAAAATGTGCTCAGTTTGAGACTGGAACCCATGTCCCAAATTTCATAAAAGAAAAAGGTCACTGAATGTCACTGAACCTATGTAAAGTAGGTAACTGATTCCTGATAGTGACCTTTTTTACAAAGTGACCTGGTAGACAAAATGCAAGGCAGGTTTGAGGACAGGGGATACAGCTTAGTTCAGTTGACTAAATAGAACACGCCTTTAAATAAATGTACCAAAACAAAAAACAAATTAAATCACATAAAACAAGACTACCAAAATATAAAAAAATTAATTAAAGAAATGGCAAGTGTGTTTACTTGATGCATACCTTCTCATTTTGCAGGGCACGAAGACGTGTTTGGTATTCCGAAAGCTTTCTCAATGACAAGTCATTTTCTTCAAAGTTTAAGGAACTTGTAGCATTAATAACTTTACCGTGCCCTGAAATCTCAGCACTTATCTTCTCAATTTGTGTCTTTACATCTCTGAACTCCTTCAGCCTTTCTTCTCTCTCTACTTTTAAATCCTCTACTAAGGGTGTAATTGATGCCAGTTGCTCCTTCAATGGCATTCCCTTCTTCTCCAACTATACAAGTAAAAAACAAACCGACATAATGTTAATGAGTAATGACTAACAAGATGAAGCGCATTGGTTTAAACACTGAACTCTCCAAGGACTGAAAATAAGAATGGAAAAAATAATATTTGCATGGGATATGATGGCAGGCAAAAAGTTTTTTTCCAACACTATGAAAGTAATTTTTTTGTCAAATTTAGCGATGTTTTTTAGCCTTACTTTTATAAGATTACTAAAATAAGATTTATGGATAAATGTTACTATATGGACACTATGGTCACTCCGAAAATACTATCAGTCCCTAACTAACTCACCGCATAGCAAAACTGAATATCACCATGGTCACTAAAGAGTCGCATTAAAACTTTCATCATAATCAACATGATATTAAAGTCATATTCTGTCCATGCTTTTACTTTTAGTCATACATTTGTCTATATTTCGTTTACATAGATTGAGATAACACAATAACAAAATGATTACTTGTTCCTTTAATGAAGTAGCAATGCATTAAAAGATAAAATCCCAGGCATAGAAGGGGGAAGAACAATACAGGTGAATTAATTTGGTGTTCACCGAGAGCAGCCATTAGGGTTGCAAGCTCAGCTTCTTTGGATGCAATAGAATGGTGAAGGCGAGCTTTGGTGTTTGCAGACTCATCAACCTTTCTTTGGTAAACTTTTAAACAATCCCTTTCCAGTTCAAGCAACATGCGCTCTTTCTCTATCTCGCTCTCACCAATGTCACTCCACATTTTCTGCTCATTAGAGAGAAGAGAGTATCACCACATCACATGTTTTTTGTTACAAACTTACAATGCTTTGATTTGTACTATTCACATATCCCACTTAGATCATAACTTATTACAATTTGTATAATCATTTTATTAAGTTTAAATATACTTTAAATGATAAACAATTACTGTCCATCGAAACCGATAATAATTCATATTACAGAAATCATTTTATTACAATTTGTACTATTTCATACCTCAACTATTCAAAGATATAACAAAATGACACAGAGCCACTTTTGAGAATTCAAATCCAGTCATTTAGACCATCCAAAATCAGTAGTAAATTATCTAGTAAGGCTTATTTAACAGTTAGATACCAATTTTGATTCATTAATTAAGTGACCGTATTTAAGGTAAAAAGTGATTTGGCATCATTTTCGTCAAATTTTGAGCAATTCGGATAAAAATTATTTTTTCTATATTACCTATGAAGCTAGTGGATATTATTTAAAGTTATTTTCTCTTTTATTAAAAAAGGTCTTCTCATTTTTTTTAAGGGTATGTTTGGCACAACTAGCTGAAAAGATACTTTTATGAGCTTTTTAATAATTGTTAGCTTTTACTGACTGAAAAGATCTTAAAAAGAAAAAATGGTAGCTGTTTGGTAAAAAGTTGACTGTTTGATTTAGTTTAGTTTGGTATACAAGCTGTTAGGACTAATTTATACTAAAAGTCACGAGCTTTTCCCAGATGCTACTCCCTGTCATGCCAAATATACAACTAGAAGCTTTTAGAGACTTTTTGAGCAGTACAAAAGCTAGAAGGCAGAGACTTATGCCTGCCAAACATAGCCTAAGATCATGTTTGGTGACCTTGTTACAGCTTATAAGCCTTATCGGTCAGCTTTTCAACCAAACATGTAAGTTTTGATTTCACGCGCAGAGTTATGTAATAATAAAAATAAGCAAGATTGAAGTTACTGACAAAATTGGATGAAGTTACTGTAGAGAATCATTTTGGCAATTTTTCCATATAACTTTTTCTTTATTTCATTAATAAAATATATTTTAAATTTAATTTTTCCATAATCCAGTAGATTCAACCAATCCAACCAGAACTTCATCAATTTTAACAAATTAAGTTGATTAAGTGTTACCAAACAAGCTCTAAAATACTCTGTAGCAGTTGTTTATATACTATCTCCGTCCCTATATAAAAGTATCCATTCATTTTACACACATCTTAAGAAAGTGGGTTTGGTTGGTACTGTTTGGCACTGTTTGGACACTGTTTGACACTGTTTGTCACTGTTTTGCACTGTTTTGTTTGCCAAAAAAGGAAAGGGAACTTTTATTTAGAGACGGCCCGAAAAGGAAACAAATGCTTTTATTTAGGGACGGAGAGAATATTAGGGTAGATAAGTATATATACTATATAGGCGCTTCAAATAAGGTCAAACTTATGTTTTGTTAAATCTCAAAGTAAAACTGTTTCAACCATAAAAATCGGAATACTTAGTTTTAGATTTTAGAGCACCGTCCATTTATGTCTTCTTTCCACAAAATAGGAAACTTTCCCTCCTAAAAAAGAATCACGGACTATTATTTTTCTACACCTTTTTAAGAATTGAATTACTCCTATTTTAAAAAGAAGAATAGTGCACCCTATTTAGACTAGGATAGTATCTGTGTTTCATCCCTATCTAGTGCAATTACTGCATAAAGAACAAAACACACATGCGCAAATAATCTGGAAAGCAAACGAAAAAAGAATAACTAAATTGGACCTCGTAGATAACTTACCACTATCAAAGAGGAAATCTTTAATACGGAGTAATTATAATAAAATGTCAAAACAATAATGAACCAGTAAAACTCTCAACTCCAGAAAATACCTTCTGAACACTTTCAAGAAAAGATTCAAGAACGGGGGGGGGGGGGCAAGAAAAGGCCATAGAAGGTCAAAAAGGTAAAAAGAGTGCAGACCTGGAGTTCTATCAGCAAACCATTATAGGTAGTGCTTTTATTGCTGCTGCTACAATGTCTCCCAAGCTCTAGCATCTCTCCCTCTCTTGAGTTCCCTTCCCCTGGCTCTCACAGAAGAAGCACTAGAAGAAGAAAGAAGAGGAGTGAAAGAGACAGAAAACAGTAATAGTTTGTGGTGCCTCTTTTACCACTTCAAACAGTAACTCAAAAAATCAAGAAATCTTCAGGGATTAATAGTTTCTTCTGACAGATCTAAGGCTTCTCCAAAATCAGAATTTGTACCCTACAAATTACAAAAAATACAAAAGCAGTATTTTTTCGTTTCGCTGAAGTTTCAAAGAGTGGTGGGGGTCTTTGTTGGGTACAGAAAAGACAGTGTACGGGGGAGGAAAGGGAATAAAAGGGTAGTGCGGCTTTTTGAGGTGGATGCTAAAATGCACCGGCGCACACGGACGTGCGCATTTTAACGCGGCTTTTTTGCGGTGGGTGCCTTTGCTGGCGGGTCCTCCCTCCATCTGTCGCTATCAGACGGTACCTACTAGCGACACTTCAACAGAGTAAAACGGAGACTTGCACCAATACAAAGTGTATGCTATACTAAAGCATAATAAAGACTAGAGTTTATTCCATGTCTCACATCATCAGGGGCGGACCGTAGTACAGACCCAGGGGCTACCGTCCCTCCAACAAGAATTTTTTTTAGTGTATATGTATATGAAAAATAATTTTCTTCCTCCCAAAATATATTTTGAACCCCCAAAAAATATTTTCGCCCCCCCAAGATGACTTTTCTGGGTCCGCCCCTGCACATCATCTATTTATTACTAATAATTCTGAAATCGGAAAAAATATATATGAAAATGTATGTTTTAATAACAAAATCATTAAATAGTGAAATGGTACTCTATGTAAATTCAGCCAAAAAATAACTTAAACCTTACTTATTTTGACATACACATATTTATGTAAGACGAAATTTTATTTTAGTTTTCCAAGTAAAACTTTGTTTTATGTCAAATCTAATACGGGCTAATTATTATATTATTGTGTATATTCTAGGCCCATGTACATGTGTTATATTATTTGGTATATACCTTGATGGAGTATATGGGTCTGAGCCCCTGGACCCACATACTCAGAAGAACAGAAAGCACAGGACACTGAGTGGCGCCCTCGTCGGCCAAGGGACCCCCGTCGGCCGAAAAGGTGTCAACTCAGATTATGGTCCTGAGCCCAAGGAACCCGGGTGCCCTCGTCGGCCACGCCCTCGTCGGCCGTGCCCTCGTCGGCCACGCTCTCGCCGGCCACGAAGACCTCACAGAACCGGATTTTACACTTACTTATTTGTACAGCCCATTAGTGGCTTTGTATTCGGCCCAGTAGCGGTCCAGTTGTAAATGGGCCTCCCAAGTCCAAGGCTTGGGAGCCCAGCCCGTATTTTCTCTATAAATACTCCCCTTGGGAGTAGTTATAGGGGTCACAAATTCATTCTATTGAAGCATATTATTGCACTTCTCTCTCTAGCTCTCACTTCTCTCTAGATATACTCTATCATTTGGTGCTCTCGTTGAGAGCTAGAACAATCAGGTTAGCACCCTTCGTCGCTACCAAGCACAGCTAACCACTGATCATGGGAAGAACTAAATCAAACCGCAACCTCGTCAGCAAGGTCATCCCTGAGGACCTAGAGCCCAGGGAGCACGATGAGGACGCCACAGCCGACCAGGTCGGCGGCGGGGACGTTTTCCAGGAGGCCTTCAACCTCACGACGGACCTCCGCAACCAACTCAACGGCGGAGCCCCTGATGCCCGCCTCGGCCTGGACAAAAAGCGAGCTGAGAAGACGGACCACGCCCCGGCCCAGCCTATGGCCGCGGCCTCTCCGTCCGTGGATCCACAGGTCCAGGCCGCGCTGTCGGCCATCATCGCCAGCCTGGCTCAGAACCCCACCGTCCTCAGCGCACTCTTGCCAAGAACCTGGGGGAACGTCACTCAACCTCCTCAGCCCCAACCGTTGGCCGTCCAGATAGGCAACGATGAGGGGGTAATGGCCCAGGACACGGCGTCATCCCACTCCCACCCTGCTTCCCCTCTTCGGCCCGGGCAGACCCCAGCGCGTGGAAAAGCCTCTGCCTTCAACAGGCTAGGTGACACGCGCCGTCGTCCGGTTTCGGAGAGGATGGCGGGACGGATTGGCGAGCGTCGGCCTGGCTCGCCGAGGGAAAGCTTGGGGTCTGTGTCCCGGACAGCGGACCAGCCCCGCCCGGACAAGGGCAAGGGGAAGTTGCACGAAGACGACGTGCACCACCAGATCAATGCGGCTCACGGCGAGCGCATGAGGAACCAGTCGGGCGCCGCTGCGGCCGCCAGGGACCCCCGGGACGAGGTCATCGCCCAGCTAGAAAGGAGGCTTGCTCAGATGGAAGCCAAGCAGTCGGCCAACATCCCTACGGCCGGCGCCTCCAACGACCCCGGCCTCAACGCGCTCATGAACAAGGTTAGCGCCCTGGAGAGGGAGCTGGCCGAAGGGCGAGGTGACCCCATCATCCAGGTCAGGACCAGGACCCCTTTCACCAACAGGGTCCTCTCGGCCCCCATCCCGGAGAAGTACAGGGGAAACGCGATCAAGTCATACGACGGCCGATCAGACCCCCAGGAACACTTCAGCCGCTATCAGAACAACATGCTGATGGTGAACGCGTCCGACGAATACCTCTGCCGTTGGTTCCTCTCTACTCTCGAGGGGCCAGCGTACGAGTGGTTCAACGCACTCCCCGAGGGGAGCATCGACTCATGGCAAGATCTTGCCCAACGCTTCCTCACTCACTTTGCCGGGAGGAAGCGTGCGAAGAAGTATTTCACCCACCTCCTCTCCGTCAAGCAGCAGCACGAGGAGTCCCTCCGGTCATTCATTGATCGGTGGACGAGGGAAACCGAGGAGGTCGAGGGGGCCGATGAGCGCACCCTCCTCGCTTTGTACCAGGGAGCCCTCCGCAGCTCCCCGTACGCTAGGAGCCTTATCACCGACCCTTCGAGGTCGTACGCCAAGGCGCTCCAGCGCGGAGGCTTGTACGCCGACGCCGACGAGCTCCATAATCACAAGAAAGAAGGGACCATCCCTCCAAGAAGACAAATCCTTCGCCGGCCCCGGGTCTGTCCCCGGCCGGCTAGGGTGCCCAGGGCCGTCACGGCTCTGGTGGACAGAGTAAGAAAGATCGCCACTGGCGGCCGAGGTTGGAACGGCCGGGGGTCTCCCTCACTCACCCGGTCGGCACCATCCTCGATTATGCTGAGAAGCACAGCCTCATCGAGCAGGCTCCTCGGCCGGCCGAGGAGATCCTTGCCATCCAGCAGGGCGGCACATACTGCCGGTTCCACAAGAACTCGTCGCACAACACTGACGATTGCATCACACTTAAGAAGGCCATCGAGCGCCTTATTCGCCAGGGGGAACTCTCCCAGTTTGTTAAAGGTGGCCCACGCAAAAACACATGGGTAAATACCGGCAAACATGGGGGCGAACCCTCTGCGAAGAAGCGGGAGATTGGTAGGCTCAGCGACGACGAGGACTTCGAGGAGCCCCCGCCGAAGAAGAATCACATTCACCTCATCGTATGTGGGAACACTGGGGGGGACTCCGCCACTCAGAGAAAGAAATGGGCCCAATCCCTCTACATTGGGGAGGTGTCCCACGTTCCCCCCCATCCGAAGAAGCAGCGGACGGAGGCGATCACCTTCACCGGCAAGGATTTGCCTCCGGGTACGGGATCACACAGGGACACCCTCGTCATCCGGTGTGAGATCGGTGACTCCATCATCCACCGCACTTACATCGATACGGGGAGCTCCGTCAATGTGATGTACCTGGATACTTTCAGGCAGCTGAAGCTGGACAGAGCTCTGCTGAAGCCGATCAAGACACCGTTATCCGGCTTCACCGGGGACTCTATCGACGTCGAGGGCACGATAGTCCTCCCCGTGGAGGTCGGTGACGGCCCCCACCACGCCAGGATTGACATGGAGTTCATGGTGGTCAACCTCCAGTGCGCCCACAACCTGATCTTGGGTCGGCCAGCGCTGGAGGACTTGGAGGCCATCATCTCCATGAAGCACTTATGTCTGAAGTTCCCTACCAATGACGGCATCGGCTACGCTAGAGGAAACCAGAGGATAGCCAGGGCATGCTACCTCAAACTGACGAGGCCGGCCGAGAGGGAAGGCCAGAGGATAGACACCATCACGGTCGCCGTTGCCAAGGACGAGGAGAGGCCACATGCAGAGCCGACCGAGGAGGTCGAGGAGGTCCCTCTGAATACCTCCCGGCCGGAGCGGGTCCTCAGGATCGGGAAGCAGCTCCCCCAGGACCAACGAGACGCCATCCTCCTCGTCCTACGGTCGTACGCCGTTGTCTTCGCATGGGGCCCGGACGATGTGCCAGGCATCAGCCGCCAGGTGATCACTCACCGGCTGACCGTCGATCCGGCCTCCGCGCCTGTCAAGCAGAAGCGGCGCTATTTGTCCGCTGACAGGCGGGACTTCGTCAAAGGGGAGGTCGCCATGCTCCTCTCAATCAAACACATTAAAGAAGTGAAGTACCCAACGTGGTTGGCCAACGTCGTCCTCGCCCAGAAACCGCCAACATTCAGGATGTGTGTTGATTACACTGACCTGAACAAGGCGTGCCCCATGGACCCGTTCCCTCTCCCTAACATTGATCAGCTGGTGGACGAGACGGCGGGGTGCGAGTTGATGTCGTTCCTTGACGCTTTCAGAGGCTACCACCAGATCTCCATGCATGAAGATGACGCGGAGAAGACAGCATTCATGACCCCAGAGGGAATCTTTTGTTACCTCGTCATGGCCTTCGGACTCAAAAACTCCAGCGCCACCTATACAAGGATGGTGGCCAAGATCTTCAGAGCGGTCCTCGGGCGGACGATGGAGGCATACGTTGACGATATGATCGTCAAGAGCAGGCAGGCCTCCTCCCACGCCGACGACCTCCGGGAAATCTTTGAAATTATGAAGGAGTTCAGGCTCCGCCTCAACCCCTAGAAGTGCGCCTTCGGCGTCCAGGGCGGCAAGTTCCTCGGCTACATGGTCAGCCGGAGAGGCATCGAGATAAACCCGGAGAAGACACAGGATATCATCAACATGGAGCCGCCCCGCAACGTCAAGGAAGTACAGCGACTGATGGGGCGCCTGGCGGCCCTAAACCGGTTCCTCTCCAGGTCAGCCGAGAGGGCACTCCCCTTCTTTCAGATCATGCGTAAAGCCAGCAGCTTCAAGTGGACGACGGAGTGCCAGGAAGCATTCGACGAATTGAAAAGGTACCTATCGTCCCCACCCGTGCTCTCCAA